CACCATGCACTTGTTGTTGGCTCCGTAGGGGTCATTTCATTCACAAATTCTGCCAAACATTTCGCTTTTATGGGTCCTCTTGGTTCATAGCTAATGTTGTGCTCCGACAATTCGACTGACCACGTAATCATTTGGCCTGCTAATTCTGGCTTTCGCAGTACTTTGCCTATTGGCAAATTGCTTCTAACGATTATTGGGTGACTTTGGAAATACAACCTTAATCGTTTGGTTGTAGTTACCAAGGCTAGTGCCACCTTCTCGATTTGTTGGTATCGCGTCTCTATCTCTTGGAACACTCTGCTGACAAAATAGACGAGATCCTGCTCCTTCTTGTGCTCTTGGACGAGAACTGCATTTACAACCTTTTCGAACATGATGAGGTATAGTAGCAATGGCTTTATCGGTCTTGGCTTTTGCATGATTAGGGGGGACGTCAGGTATTCTTTTAACTTTTTGAAGGCCTCCTCGACCGCCTCATTCCACACAAACTTCTTAACTTTCTTAATCACTTTAGTATGGGTTGTACTTTATTGGCTAGTTTCGGGAGAAACCGAGACGACACCGTGATTCGTCCAACTAGCTGTTGAACCTCCTTTACATTCCGAGGACTCTTTATGCCTATAACAACTTTGCACTTGTCAGGGTTTGCCTCTATCCCTCTGTGCGTAAGCATAAATCCTAAAAACTTTCTACCTCAGCTCCGAATACACACTTTTCTGGATTTAGTCGCATGTTTAAGGTTCTCAACACATGAAATATTTCTTTCAAGTCCACAACATGACCCTCTCCGCTACCCGATTTTATGACCATGTTGTCCACATCAACCTCCATGTTACAACCAACTTGTTTGATACATCTTGTCCATCAAGAATTGGTATGTGGCTCCGACATTTTTCAACCTTAACATAACCTCGTAGTAGAAATTTGTGGAGTCAGTCATGAAGGTTGTTTTTATCTTGTTGTTTTGATGCATGAGTATTTGGTTGTATCCTGAGTAGGCGTCCAAGAAACTAAGCACTTTGTGGCTGACTGCTCCATCTACCAACCGATCAATGCTAGGCAACTAGTATGTATCCTTTGAGCATGCTTTATTGAGGTTTGTGTAGTCAGTGCACATGCGCCATTTTCCGTTGGCTTTTTTCACCAATACCACATTTGACAACCACATTTTATATTGGGCTTCATTGATGAATCCGACCTTCAGCAACTTATCAACCTTTACTTGCACCACCTATTGACGCTCCTCACCAATTTTTCATTTTTTTTGAGCTATCAATCTTGCTTCTCAGAAAACTGCGAGCCAGTGAGATATGATTTGGGGATCTATGCCAGGTATGTCGGTGGTCGTCCATGCGAATATTTCGACATTCTCGATCAATGCTTGTTTTATTAATCGTGCATCTTCCCTCTTCAAACTCTTCCCTATATGCGTGTTTTACCCCTTAGTCCCCACTTGCACAAGGATGATTTTTTCTCTGGCTCCACTCGGATCTTGTCACCGATGCGAGGATCTAGATCAATCATTGCTACCGCTTGCAATGATGCGTTGGCTCACGTGCTCGATGATGGTGACAATTTAAGACTTGCTATGTAACACTCTCGAGTCATCCGCTGGTCACCACGTACTGTGGCTATCATCCCCAAATTGGTTGGAAACTTCATTGCTAGGTGTAGCGTGGATACTATAGCGCTAAGGCATTTAACGCTGGATGACCAAGGAGGATGTTGTATGAGGAGGGTGCGTCGACTATCAAGTATCTTATCTTGATTGTACGAACATCTCAGTTGCCTTCGCCAAAATTAGTGTAGAGATCAATATCCTTTTGTATCAACTCTCTCCCTCGAGAATCTGACAATTTGTTCATAATAGGGGAGAATAGTTGAAGTTGTTGGAAAGTCTTCCAATAGAGGATATCGACTGAGCTTCCTTAATCCACTAACGTCTTACAAATTGCATAGTTGGCAGCTTCTACTGTTATGACCATGGAGTCATCATGGATCGGGTCGATTACGTGATAGTCCTCGTTTGTGAAGGTGATGGTCGGCATAGAACGTCGTCGGATTGACGTGGTGTTCACGGTTCTCACTGCTCTTAAATACCTTTTCTTGGTAGCGTTGGAAGTTCCTCCACTTGCGAATCCTCTTGTTATGCTATTGATTACCCCTTTTAGATGGCTTCACGTCTCTTCGCACTCTGAGTTTCTTTGCCTCTTTTTTCCATCCATCTCTTCGTAATTTTGGGGTTGTTGTCCGTCGAGCTATTTGCCTCTTCTTTTTACGAATTTCTGTAAGTGCACTACTTGAATGAGTTCCTCGATCTTGTCTTTCAGGGTGACACAATCCTCTGTGGTATCGACAATGCTTGCTTCAGTCAGCATGTGGGGGAGTCAACACCTTTCTCATCATGTAGATGAGTTCTGCATTCAGCGCTTCTTCGAAAAGTTGTTCCTTATTGATGGTCAATAGGGTGTAGTAAGCAAAGTAGGGGGTCTCGAGATTGTGTTTTGGGACTGCACCTTCTTTCTACGATCCCTCTCGATTGGTTTGGCGTTTGAGGAATTGCTGGCCCTTGCCTTATCGTGTAATTCCCTTAACTCTTCTAACTGCATGAATTTTGTTGCCCTTCTCTATATTTCATCGAGGTCTTCGATCGAATTTTTGCACAGGCTATCGGCGAAAGGTTCAGGCCTTAAAGCCGTTATCAAATGATGTAAGGCGACCTCTAGAGTGAGATTCCTTATATTGAGGGCTATCTTGCGAAATCTTTCCATGAAAGCCCTCAAGCTTTCCTGCCTTTCCTACCTTATCTTGACTAGGGCGATCGAGGTGAGATGATGCGGTCGTCTTGTGGCAAATTGTGTCTTAAACTTACTTACTAGAGTTTCGAAACAATCAATCAAATAAAGGGGTAGCCTTGTGAACCAGTTTACTGTTGCATCCTTTAACGATGTGGGAAAAACTCGACACAAAATTGTGTCATCGGGCGAGTAAAGGTTTATTTGAGTCATATACACATCTATGTGCTCATCCAGATCTATCGTCCCATCACATTGGTCGATCGTTAATCATTTCGACGAAGGTGGCAAAGAGACTTTGGAAATTCTATCCACAAATGGGTGTCGTCGCGGTTTTGGTCCAGGGATGGGGTTTGATATTCTTTCTAAGGGAGCGCTCAAGTCGGAGTATGCACGGGTATGCCCGCCCGGTGAGAATGGGCGAGAGCTATTCGGTTGCTCCCACATTCTCGATGTCCTTGGGCTTCCCGGATAATGCCCTCCCTCTTTTTCTTCTAGCCGTTTCCTAATTCGACCATTCTCCCTCTTCAACACCATTATTTCCTCCAAACTCTCTTTCTTGAAGTTTTCAAGTTCTTTCTCCAACTCAACTAGAAAGGGTTGCTTCGGTGAACTGATTTTCCCTTTTTGGTGGGCTTGGACGCTCTACATTGGTCATATTTCTGATAGATACCATCAGTCGTGCTCTTGCTCGACCCCACGGTGGATGCTAATTATGTTCTTACAAGGCTGAATACTAATCGACTGTTCTATCAGGTCAATCACCAGGGGTCTCGATCGTCGCCTCCCAAATCTCGTTCCATACTTCTCGATATCCGGCTCTCGATTCTGATGCGCATGGAAGGGGTACCTGTAAAGATATCCCGATGCTTAAGTCAGTGAGAGTATGATGTGTTAACAAGGTTTCTATGAATCAAATATCCTACCTAGTGGTGAATCTTGACCATTGATTTTGGGGGCTACATCATATATTATTAATAAATAATAAATAAATATAAAAGAATGAAAATGTAAGAGGATAAAATTGTAAATGTATAAGTAAATAATCATTAAGTTTTGAGGGGACAAAATCATAAATTATAAGAAAGTTACAAAACTGAAGAGAGATTGAGAGGATAAAATTGTAAATATACAAGTAAATATATTAAATGATCATTAAGTTTTGGGAGACCAAAATCATAAATTACATAAAAATTACAAATCTTTGGAAGAGTCACAACCCCTTTCAATTTCTAAGAAGATCCACCAATAATCCTATTTTTCTTATAACTACAACAAAATATTTGAGTCCTCTTGAGATGAGACTCTAATTAATTCTCTAATGTGTTTACAATATAGGTAGTTTGATTAATGGGGTTTTTCCAATAATTATATTTCTAATAATAAAATTGACCGTTTTCCAATTTTATTTCTCTAGTTATTTCATTTGTCTAATAATACCTCATTCACAATTGATTTCTAATAAAAAATATAAATTTAAAAATTTTGGGTGTTCTATTCCTATTACCCAGTAAAAAGAACAATGACCAGCATAGGAGAAATATATGTCCATATGAATTTTAAGAATTTTTAGCTGTTCTATTCCTATTGGTCATTTCAATTTATATTCCTTTTTAGTATTTTTCTTTTATTAATCCTAATAAAATTGATTTATTAAAATGATAATTGATAAATCGATCTTTTCATAAATTTTTTGTTGACGGTTCACTAATTTTCGTATGATTTACTCCGACTGCTCGGATGTTTGGGTGAGAAATTCTTAGGTCTGGGTAACTGGAGGTTATAGTATCTGTATAAATACTCGAAGGGTTAAATCAGTAAGATAAATATTTTGGAGAATTTTATAGAAATAGAATTGAATTACTTTTTTTTTTTCTGAAGCTTGTTGACATTTATAAAAGGGTGGCCGGATAAGTGTCCCCAATTAAACTATGTTGAGAGCCATTATCCTACACATACTAAACTATTTTTTAAAAAAAAAAACTGCTTAAACAACTCAATTATGTATTTATAAATATGTACAGCATGGTTGAAGATTAAGGAGTATAATGGAACAGGTAAATTAGCCACGTTTCGTCCCATTCACATTATTTATTTATTTTATTACATTTCCAAGAAATGGTGTGTAAAAATATAAAACAGGCCAAAACCTTTTCATTGCCACATGCGATACACTGAGTGTAACAACAGCAGGGTTTAAGTTCAATGGAAACTCTGCTCCCATGCGTTGGCCTCGCTCTCTGCACTCCGCATCCAACCATTAACCATTTTACAAAACCTAACAAGCAGCGATTCTCCTCTTCCGTCGCCGGCCGCGGTGGAGGTTCCCTATCCGCTACCTGCGCCACCAGCAGATGGGCGGAGCGCCTCATTGCCGATTTCCAATTCCTCGGCGACGCCTCATCAAGCGCCACCGCCACTCTGAGCCCCTCCTCTGTCCCTCCGCGACTGGAACCTCCCGAGCGTTACTTGTCCATCCCGCTCGACCTGTACCGCGTCCTCGGGGCGGAATCGCATTTCCTGGGCGACGGCATTCGCAGAGCCTACGAAGCGAAGTTCTCGAAGCCTCCTCAGTACTCGTTCAGCAACGACGCGCTAATTAGCCGCCGCCAAATCCTCCAAGCCGCGTGTGAAACCCTAGCGGATCCTGCTTCCAGAAGAGAGTACAATCAAGGCCTTGTCGACGACGAAGACGCCGCCATTCTCACTCAAATCCCTTTCGACAAAGTAATTCACCCTATTTAGGTTAATTGGAATTTGATTCTCTTACTGAAGTCATTTTTGGTGATTTTGATACCTCCTTTTATTTTTTTCTCTATAGCGGATTTTATATCGCTATTTTAATTGTGAAATTTGTGTGGTTTAGAGAAATGTTGATTTGGCGGCAATGCCATAAAGTGTCTCATGAGTGTTTACGTTAAATGTTGAATGAAAAATGGACAATTAAACTTGTGAAAGGAGTTAAAAAAAACATGTCTATTGTAGGGACCGATAGTGTAACTAAGGCTACTTCTATTTTCTATTCTTTTTCTTAACGTAATGTAGTTGGATTTTTTGTTGGTTGGTAGGTTCCTGGAGCGTTGTGCGTGTTGCAGGAAGCTGGAGAGGCGGAGCTTGTACTTGAGATTGGGCAGGGTTTGCTTAGGGAGAGGTTGCCGAAGACGTTTAAGCAGGATGTTGTGTTGGCTATGGCGCTCGCTTTTGTTGAATTCTCGAGGGAAGCCATGGCTTTGTCCCAACCAGATTTCATTGCAGCTTGTGAGATGCTTGAGAGGGCATTGAAGCTTTTGCAGGTGATTCACACTCTTATACGTTCTGTTTGGCCCTCTAAACCTTGAATAAGTAGTTCATAGAATAAATAATACATGCGGGGATGGTGTAAAGGTTCTTTACACTGTTCTCAAATCACAAATTGTCACATATATAGTATGTATCGAATCACAAATTTTGTTATGCAATAGTGCAATTGCAGCTGTTCAACAACACTGAACCAAGGATGATTACTAATTAGTGGATATTGTAAACTTTTACACTGACAGTTCATGATTTTTAAACTTGTTTAGACATCAAGTCTTTTTACTACTTCCCTCCGCCATGTATGGGCTTGTTTTGTGCTTAGTCAAATAACCACTCATGCTAAATAGTTGTTCTGATATAAAAGTACAATTTAACTTCTTGATATGACATTATAAGGCAGTGATAACTCTAATATTTACCATTGAAATTATGTTCGAAATTCCAGATATGCCAGTTACCTTCTCTATCAGATATTTTTTTTGTTAATTTCTTTCTCTCTCCTTTGTTATGTTAGCATTCTGTCCATAATTTTTGGGTCATTTACTGCGATTGTATAAATTATTCAAGAATTAGATTATTGAAAGGTATAATAGACAAAATTGTTGTTAATGTTATACTTGACTTTGAAAATGACAGACAGATGAGAACAAAAATCCTCTTCTAAAATGACAATGAAATGGAGGTAGTAACACATTAGGTACTAGATGAATATTAGCTAACTATGGGCTTTGGTCCATTATTTCTTCATATCTTTATGAGAGCAAGCATTGTTGCAAATGCATAATGGTAAGGTTGCTACGTTGTGATTTATGGATCACAGGTTTAAATCCTAGAAATAGTCTCTTGTGGTGGCAGGGTTAAGGCGTTATACATCTACTCTTCAAGACACCCCTATCTGGAAGTACTATGTCTCGGTTATTCTTCTGATACAAATTTTGGACCCCCAATTTCATTAGCTTTTGTCGTGTTGATGCAGTTATAGATTGATTTGGTGCTATTGTAAGATTAAGCATATAAAACAAGCCACTGTGTTTTTGTATAGACAATAATGGTCTTAGAGGTTGAAATGTGTGAATGAAAAGCATTCAGTATTTGTACTATTGCATTTATAAAGTTACCTTACATTTTTCTTCTTGTATTTAATGTGCTATATCATAAAGTGTATATTATAACGTATCTTGAAGATTTCTGTGTTGTACTTGCATTGCAATATACTGCACAATAACCTCTCTGATCATGTAGGAAGAAGGAGCAACCAACCTAGCTCCAGATTTACAGGCTCAAATAGACGAGACGCTAGAAGAGATAACCCCACACTGTGTTTTGGAACTTCTAGCCTTGCCACTTGATGACGAACATCGAACAAGGAGGGAGGAAGGTCTTCTTGGTGTCCGTAATATTCTGTGGGCAGTGGGAGGAGGGGGTGCCGCAGCAATTGCCGGGGGTTTCACCCGTGAAGACTTCATGAATGAGGCATTCTTACACATGACAGCAGCTGAACAGGTTTCAATAAATAAAATTTTTATATTTTTTTTTCTATTTTTTGTCTTTATTTATAAAGAATTTACATTTATCTTTTTCTTACCCTTAATTTTCTTTTGAAGGTTGAACTTTTTGTTGCCACACCAAGTAATATTCCAGCTGAAAGTTTTGAAGCTTACGGAGTGGCACTTGCTCTTGTTGCACAAGCCTTTGTGGATAAAAAGCCGCATCTTATCCAAGATGCTGATAATTTGTTCCAACAACTTCAACAGACTAAGGTTACAACTTTGAGGAATGCTCCCTCTGTTTATACTCCCACGGAAAAGAGAGAGATTGATTTTGCTCTAGAAAGGGGCCTCTGTGCACTGCTCGTTGGGGAGCTTGATGAATGCCGTTCATGGTTGGGACTAGATACCGATAACTCTCCTTACAGGAACCCATCTATTATAGAATTTATTATGGAAAATGAAAAGGGGGATGAAGACAGTGATCTTCCTGGACTCTGTAAATTGTTGGAGACATGGCTGATGGAGGTGGTTTTTCCTAGGTTTAGAGATACAAAAGAAACAAGATTCAAGCTTGGAGATTACTATGATGACCATACAGTGCTGAGATATCTAGAAAGGCTGGAGGGTGTTGGCCATTCACCCTTAGCTGCTGCTGCAGCCATAGTAAAAATCGGAGCTGAGGCTACTGCTGTCATTACCCAAGTTCAGGCTAGTGTAATAAATGCATTGAAAAAGGTATTTCCTGTTGGTTCTGCTGATCAAATTGTGAAACATCAAGAAAATGGTGAGAAAGATGATTTTAGCTTTTCTGCAAGTGAGAATCCTCTGATATTATCAGAAGGCGATTCTTCAGTCAATGTTGAGGTTTCTGGAACAAAAAATATTGCTGAGGCAGGTGAAGGGGAATTTATTACCGATGAAATTAAAAATGCAAGTGTGCAGATCATGTGTGCTGGTGTTGTAATTGGACTTGTAACTTTGGTTGGTTTGAAGTACTTACCTGCTAGGAACGGCTTGCCTGTGCTTCGGAAAATGACTGGTCCAGTAACAGCATCAGATACTATCAATATAGGTATAGTTTTCAGAGACATCTGCAATTTGGAAGATTAGTACATATATTTCCTTATAGCTTTTATAAGTTCATAAAGTAAACTTCATGCATTAATTGCTTATTATTGCACAGATTCATTGGGAGATGAAGAAAAAGGAGTGCAAATACCAAAAATGGATGCAAGGGTTGCAGAAGCTCTAGTTCGCCAGTGGCAAAGTATAAAATCCCAAGCTTTTGGACCTGACCATTGCCTAGGAAGATTGAAAGAGGTATGAAGTTTAACTGATCTGCATAAAATCGGAGATGATAAACTATTGAAAATTAAGCACGAATATGATGTATTTATTAAACTGATTTCCCCCCTTGGTTATGTTAAATCTGACAATTATGCAATCACACCAGTGCAATTATGCCTCTTTAGGTTGTTACTGTTTTTTCAATTGAATCCCAATCCGGTATGATGTGATATCATTTAGTCTTTTTTTGGAGTTCTGAAAAGCAGGGGAATGGATGGGCACATAGGTTGAAAAGGACTGGACTGGGCTTTTGAGAGCAGGAAGCACTTTTATATTTTGTTTTAGTAAAATTAAAAACTGATCACTACTCAATCTTTATGATAAACCAATTCCTCCTTCATCACATTATAGGGACTCCGGGCTCCACCCCCCTCCTCTGAAAAATCCCCTAAAGTTATAAACTAGGGTTATTGTAGGCTGGTCTCAATGATTTTTGGATCACCGGTTTCTATAGATCTAGAGTTAATGTGGGTAATGTAGGTACATTTTAAACTTTGAATATTTATTTCTATGTCTTTGAACAGACGGGATTTCTTGTATGACTGATGACTGTTTATGGGCAGAGCACCTTATACAAACCCAAAAAACTATTTATTTCTCCCTTCTCACCCTTTGCAATCCATCCCTCACACTGATCTAGAAGGTTATTGTGTTTCCATCCTTTTAATGTTTGAGAGAGGAACCTATCACAGATTTGGACACAGCACATATATGCACACACACATACATACGATAAAGATTCTAAAATAAAATCAATTGGCTATATGAAAAGTAGCTTAATTGGTATTAAAATCATACCATGACATGAGGCAGACGATATGAGATTTCCAACATGCCCCTTCCAACGAAGCTTGCCAGATCAAGCAAAGGGTACTTTTGACCCACAACAAAAGGGAAACTCCTTGCCCAAGACAACAATCGAAAAGAAGTTAAGCTTTAACTTTGATATCATGTTAAAATTCTAACATAAAATCAATTAGCTATATGAGGAGTAGCCCAACAGGTATTTAAGCCCTACCATATAATATGAGACAAACGATGTGAGACTTCCAACACATAAATACACATATATACACACCCTTATGTATACATATATATAGAGAAAGATCCGCTTTCTCTAAGAATAAAAGTTAAAAAACTTACTTTTAATCTTTACATTTTCTTGTAATCTAATAATTAAAATGATTTATTATTTTAGACTACTAGATTATCAATGTTGAATGTCCCACATTGCCTACCTCATGTCATTTGGTATGGTTTAAATACATGTTAGGCTACTCCACATATTGCCAATTGGTTTTATGTTGGAACCTTAACATGGTATCGAGCCAAAGCCTAACATCTTTCCGGTTATTGTCATGGGTCAAAAGTTGCCCTTTAGTTGGGTCAAAAGTACCCTTTGCCTGGTCCGGCAGGCTTCGTTGGAGGGGGCGTGTTGAAAGTTCTTGAAAAATAGATTAACTGAAATATGATTTATTTTATTTTCTCAATACAAAGAGATGATATAAGATATATACAAAAGACCTAAACTATTTTAGGAAATATAATAACTCTATTTTATGCTAGGATCCCTTGATTTATGGGATTGTTCCTAATTATTCAAATGCATGCAGATTACTAGGAAATATACAAATTTTCTTATTTATTCTTTCCTAAAATACTATTTGATTTCTCACACTCCCCCTCAAGTCTGGTGAATAGATGTTTTCCATTCCCAGCTTGGATACAATCTTCTCAAAATTATGGCGGCCCAGTCCCTTGGTAAGAATGTCCGCAATTTGATCTTGAGAGGACACATATGGAGTGCATATCAAGCCACTATCAAGCTTTTCTTTGATGAAGTGTCTGTCTACTTCAATATGCTTTGATCTATCATGCTGCACTGGGTTGTGGGCTATACTGATTGCTGACTTATTATCACAATAGAGCTTCATAGGTTCTTCCCACTTTATCCTCAAGTCTTCTAAGATGATTTTAAGCCATAGCAACTCACATAACATAAACTTGTCCTCCTTTCCTTGAGGAGCCTCCTTTGTGTCCCCCTTCTCGATCTCGGTTTAAAGGCTTCCCATGTAACTTCCAACACTTCTCCCGGGTATGACGAGGTTTATTGCAGTAGGTACACCAGAGACTATCACCTTTCTTCTCCACATTTGCTGATCCTCCTTTCTTCTGTTCGGTTACCATGGCCAAAGTCTGATCTCCTTTATGGTCCAGTGCTGAGTTCTCTACTGCTAGACTCTCTAACATGAGACCCCTTCTACTTTCTTCACTTCTCACAATAGCCACCACTTCGTTGAGGCATGGTACCTTTTGCTTCCCCAATATTTGAATCCTAACATGATCAAATTCAGGATTCAAACCAACAAGGAAATCATAAACTCTGTCTTGTTCGATATACTCCTTGAGAAGTGTTGAATCTTCAGTACATTTGGCTTTTATGACTCTATAATGGTCTAACTCCATCCATAATGATTTCAGTGATTGGCATATTACGTAACTGATCTTGTTCCCTTGTTTCTTTGTCAAAGTTTTCACCTTTACTTCATATACTTGAGCAGCATCTTTGGCTTTAGAGTAGGTTTGCTTTACAGCATCCCAAATATCTTTTGCCGAACTAAGGAACATGCAGGTGTCACTGATTTCTGGAATCATTGAATTCCACAGCCACGCCATGATCATTGAATCTTCTTCATCCCATGTAGTAAACTTGGGATCCTCCTGTTTAGGTCCAGACTCCATCAGGTGACTCAACTTCCCCTTTCCCTTCAACACTGTACGAACAAGTTGGACCCACTTCAAATAATTTCTTCCATTTAGTCTATATGCAGAATGAATATTCTGCAGTTCTCCAGATTGCTGGGATTGGGTATTCCCTGTTTCTGGGTTTGGATTCACAACTTCCTCTTCCCTTGACATCATAGCAAGGAGGTGTGATGCAACAACAATGCAGGCTGTCGTCTTAGGATTAAAAAAAATGCAGCAGCAATGCAGGCTGTCGTCTTAAGGTTAAGAAAAATGCAGCAGCAATACAGGCTGTCGTCTTGGGGTTAAGAAATATGCAGTAGCAATGTAGGCTGCCGTCTTAGGATTAAGAAAAATGCAGCAGCAATGTAGGCTGCCGTCTTAGGGTTAAGAAATATGCAGCAGCAATGTAGGCTGCCGTCTTAGGGTTAAGAAATATGCAGCAGCAATGTAGGCTGCCGTCTTAGGATTAAGAAAAATGCAGCAGCAATGTAGGCTGCCGTCTTAGGGTTAAGAAATATGCAGCAGCAATGTAGGCTGCCGTCTTAGGGTTAAGAAATATGCAGCAGCAATGCAGGCTGCCGTCTTAGGGTTAAGAAATATGCAGCAGCAATGCAGGCTGCCGTCTTAGGGTTAAGAAATATGCAGTAGCAATGCAGGTTGCCGTCTTAGGGTTAAGAAATATGCAGCAGCAATGTAGACTGCCGTCTTAGGGTTAAGAAATATGCAGCAGCAATGTAGACTGCCGTCTTAGGGTTTATCGCGCGCAGACATAGCTTCCTAGATCGGAAGCTCTGATACCATCTTGAAAAATAGATTAACTGAAATATGATTTATTTTATTTTCACAATACAAAGAGATGATATAAGATATATACAAGAGACCTAAACTATTTTAGGAAATATAATAACTCTATTTTATGCTAGGATCCCTTGATTTATGGGATTGTTCCTAATTATTCAAATCTGTACAGATTACTAGGAAATATACAAATTTCCTTATTTATTCTTTCCTAAAATACTATTTGATTTCTCACAAAAGTCCCACATTGCCTACCTCATGTCATTTGGTATGGTTTAAATACATGTTAGGCTACTTCACATATTGCCAATTGGTTTTATGTTGGAACCTTAACAATCAAAAATTGAATGGTGTGGATGAAAAATAAGTCTCTAACTTATACCTCTGGAATAAATGAATTCCTCCTCATATGAACATGTCATAAGAATAAAATATAAACATAGCTTCCAGCATCACATCCCTACCTAACTGAATAAAATTGAAGAATTTAGGTCCAATTTTATTTAAAGACCCCTTTTCTTTTCTAACACCGGCAAGGATATCTATTAATTAAGTACCCATCACATAATGGAATGCTATTTACCAGATACATCAATTTTTAAATTAATATTCAGATTTTCTATTCCCTCTTTTTCTTTTTCTGTTCCACTGCTCTCTATCAATGTTGCTCCTCCTTGGCCATCTTCTTCCACATATAATTTCATGTTGAAAAACTGTTCGAGAACCTTATCTTTCTAGGTATTGTTTGTTCTAAACTAGGTAAGAACAAAGAAGTCTCATCTCTGTGACTGAACCAAACCTTTGTGATGCATTGGTGGGGATGTGTTCATGTGGGAGGTTGCCTGTGTCATCATTGGCATGTCCGCTGGGCCATGTCCAGTTTTGGGGGGACTGTGTCCAAACACTGCTTCCATGCTGGCACCTTGTCCAATATGGTTTTGACTCGTGGAATCTGTGCTTCATAGCCAAATGATTGGAAAATCCAAGTTAGATCAAGTACCATTAATTATAATGAGTCCTTGGATGCGATTAATTTGATCATCAGCACAATTGGGCAAAGTCATGTTAGAGGCAGCTTGATAGGACCTGGTATTATTGAATCGAAAAGGTAATAGCAGCGGAACAGAAAAATACTGAAACCAGAAAATATAAATCAGAGAATGTTCGCTGCACTGTAACAATAGTCACCCTACAATACCCTTAATTCCTTTCCCTCCCCTCTCCTCCTCCACTCTCCTGCTCTTTATTCTCTTTTTCTCCCTACATCTCCTATCCCCCAACCCTCCGCTGCCACGTGTATAGTTAGTTACCTCCACTCACGACAAACTCATTCCCACTAGTGACCTTTTTACCCCTTCTGCAGTAGTAGTGTTTCCAAGGCCTTTGTTGTTGAGGCCCATCAATACCCTCCCCAACAAGCGACACCTTGCCCTCAAGGTGGAATCGGGGAAAAACAGTTTGAATCACCTCATAATCTTCCCAGGAACTGTCTTCTGTGGGTAACTCAGTCCATTTGATCAGCACTTGCCACTTTCCATTCAACAATTTCCTTGTGGCCAACACTTTATCAGGCTCAACCATCAATTCAAGCTCATTTGAGAGGAACTTGGGCAGTTCTTGACTCAGCTGGAAGTAGGGTAAAACCTTCTTTAACTGTGAAACATGAAACACAGGGTGTAACCGTGAGCTGTCTGGGAGTTGTAACTTGTATGCCACTTCCCCAATTCTGGCCAAGATCTTGAATGGCCCATAAAACCTGGGACTGAGTTTTTCATTAATGTGTGTAGCTAATGACCGCAATTTATAAGGTTGAGCTTTCAAGTACACCATGTCTCCTACCCGAAATTCCACCTCACGCCTACCCTTATCCGCTTGTTCTTTCATTCTCCCTTGTGCCTTAAGCAGGTTTTGCTTTAACTCAGCCAAACTTGAAATAGAAAAAAGAAAATAAAGAACTGATTTTGAGAGCCTGAAATCATCTTCTTGTGTTCTCTTATTTATAGGAGATAAAAATACAGATTCAGAGATACAATTAATAGAGAGACATGATTAATCCTAGAGAAAATAAACAGATGCATTCTAGGAACTAGGTCT